CTTACAAGGACGTCATAAGATAATTTGTATTTAATTCTGACAGTTACCTTTGGGATTGTATACTAATAGCATTTCTCCCTTTTCTGTGGTTTGATGGAAACGTTTTCTCTGATTAATAAAGATCCGACATCATAACCCACCCAATAGGACATCTTAGTGGGAGTAGCTGGTTATAGTCCCTTCAGCCTGAGATGAAGTCCCCGCTATAGAACCCAGTCTATCCGGGGAGAATCACACAAAACTGTCCTGAGACTCTCCGCTCTTTTCTGCCAATGTCCTCCCTGGAACCGAACACCCCTAAAACGAAAGGGGACTCAAGGGGAGGAGGAGGCACAGGTGTGAGCCCGGGAACTGCGGAGGAAGCTCTCGGTGCTGAAGGAAGCCCCTTCGCTCAGTGGACACGGCTGCCAATGGGAGTACTGCTGCGTTGAACACTTAACCTTATTTATATTTTTAGATCAGCAAGGCAAAGTGCACATTCAAATGAAAATGCCTGAAAGATTTTTAAAAAGAGGAAAATGGGAGAGGGAAAAAGAAAACTTGGCCTAAGGAAATTTCCAGGCCGTTCTAGGGATGCTTTGAGGGAATCCAAACGATGCGCGGCTCCCCTGTACCCTGCCTAAAAGACAGATATTTTCAGAAAAGGAAGGGAGGCACACGCACACACGCACACACGCACACGCACACGCGCACACGCACACGCGCACGCGCACACGCACACGCACGCACACGCACACACGCACACGCACACACGCACACGCACTCCCTTTGGAAGCACAGTCCCTTTGGAACTGGGACATCCCACTCCCACCCCCCCCCGCCCCCCCTCTGGTAGTCCGTCCAGGTTGAGCCAGCTCTTCCCATCTGTTGCTGGGCCCTGGCCCTCTCCCTCCGGGCGCCCCGCTGGGCCACAGCCGCCCGCGGCCCCACAACCCGGCCAGGTCACCCTGGAGCACTTTGCAGGTTCACGCCTCCCTCACCCAGCACCTCCCGTCCACCGCATTCCTCTTTCTGTTAGAAAACAGAAAAGGGAAGAAGACGGGAAAGCCCTTTTTGGCCTACAGTTTCAGGGGGCGCTAGGACTCTATGGTCCTAGGTGGCACATGTCGGATAATCTCCCAAAGTAGGGCGCCCGTTTGGGGAGAAATCCGCGTAGGACTCTACAGCCACGTGCGTTTAGGGACCTGCTGCTGGGAGCTCTGGAGGCCTGCGACGGGTCCCACACCCAAGGCGGCAGAATGTCCAAAGGTCGCATTTATTCGGCTGTCCACAGATATTTATTGCGCACCTACGAAGCTACCTGGCATTTTCCTTTTCCCTTGCGCTGTTGCTGTCCAGTCCCAGGGCCGTCCTGAGACACGGCTTACCCGCCGCCTCTCCCTAGAGAACCGGTGTCCGGCCTGAAGAGCGACCCGCAAACGGGCTCGCAGCCGCGAGAAAAGTACTAACCACCGAGGAGAGAGCGGGGACCCGAGGGTTCCGCCAGGGATTGGGGTCTTTTACCTCAAAGGAACCGAGCCCCCGGAAAATTTGACAGAGAGAAGGGATATCCACTTCCCTGAGCCCCTCTATAGAGAATATCGCCCGGGGCTGAGATCTTCGGGAGACTCTGCTGCTCAACCCAACCGAATTCTTCGGGGACATATGCACCCCTGCTGAAAACGGATTTAGACACGTTCCCCACTTTTGCTAGGAAATTTTGGAAAGGGAGGTTACGGTCCCTAATTCCCCAGGTAAAGGGAACCCCATTCGCCCACGCCGTCCACTGCCATCCGGAGACGGAAAACCCCCGTGCCGTGTGTTCACACCGCCCCACAGAGCCCACGAAACTCGCTGTAATCCAACATCTCTGGGCTCCGGACTTGGCGCCCGCATAGACGCGGAGGGAGCTCGGCGGCCCAGGCTAGGGAAATTGAACCCGGCGCCGGCCCTAGTCGCTGAAAGAGACCGGGCGGGGGGTGATCCCAGACCTCGGCTTCCCGAGGTCCGCCTTGGGATATGCTTGCACCTCCAAGTCTCTGCCCCCGCGGCAGACCTCGCGGCGCTTGCTTAGAGCGTGGCCCGGAATGCACGTCGCAGACTGGTGAAGGGCCCCCCGCTGCCTGCCGCTTTTCTTGACCTGCGCCCTTTCCCCACCAGAAAAAGGAGCCCACCGCGTTTGGCTCTCGGCAGCATGCCCTGGCTAAAACGGAGCCAACAGCCTCAGTTTCCCGATCTGTAACCTGAACATTAAGAATGGGTTCCTTTCCCTCTGGCGCTCTCTGACACGGGTCCTCTGGTCGCGGACCGCGAGCGTCTTCCTGGGGCAGGGAGGAGAGGTCAGGGACTACCCGAGAAACTCACACGGAGCCGAACCCCTGAGTGGGGGTGGGGGAGTTGGCACCGGAGCCCCTGCAGAAATACAGGACTAATCAACGGGGTCCACGACTCAGACTTGTCCTGGTCCTGGCACATGAGCAGAGGGCAATGTCTGGAATTTGGGGACAGGGGTCCTTCTCCCGAACCCGGTCTCCCCGTTCCATGCAGACTAGAAGCGTCAGGCACCTTGAACGCTCTTTTCTTGCCCGGTCCCGTATAAGACACACGTCTCCCAGTTCCTCTAACTGGGCTGCCTAGAGGTGAATCCAAACGGGAGGAAATATCGAGTAGGAATTTCTGCAGAGATAAATCTCAGCAGCAAAGCAGCCCTGATTGAGTGGAGCACACCACCACCAGCCCCCACCACCATCAAAGTTTTCCTGCCGTTTCTGTGAGTTAAACAGTTTCTGAGCTTTTGGCGCCCCCTCTGGATGAAGCTGAAAATTGCACCATTCAAAAAGTCCAGTTTATCAGTTTTGAAGAAGATACAATACAGAATGTTTGCATCAAACGAACAGAAAATGTACAAAACACTGTAAATTTATGATTTAAAATTCTATAAATTACGTATCTCCTATGACGTAATTGTATTAAATATGTATTTATGTGTATGTATTTATCTTGACAAATATTTAGAGAAATATTCCAAAATATCTTAAAGTCACAGCCTTCAGTGCCTTTAAGCCAGTAAACACGAGAATTGCAATAAAATGCAACTAAATACAGACGCCTTGGTTAAAATTTCCGCCAGAAGTTCTAGTCTCTGAGTGTCCTCCTGGGTCAGGTGCCTACGAATCACACAGTTATACTCACAAATGTCCCCTCCCCACGACACAGAAATCAGTTGACACTACGCGGGACTCTTTTCTCCCAAGAAAGGACGAAGTTGTTCTTATACTTTTCCAGCGTATTCACGGAGCCATGAATACGTGGCTACTGTATGGAGGTCTCTAAAACTTGTAAACAAGCTATAGGGTACTACAGACATCCACTGTGAGTGAGTTACATTCGTTTGAAAAGTAAATAGTATTTAACTGTAGTTGCAACTTACTACCTTCTGAAGAATTCCGTTTCCTATAAGAAAGGTCGACTTCTTCGGAAGAAAATGAGAGAAAACGAGATTTTTTTTAAAAAAAAAAATCTTCCAGGAAATCATTCTTTTAAATCTTGCAAGTGTCCGCAATATACAAATTAGAAATGAACAAGTCTTTGCTATGATGCGGGCCGATTCACCATAACAATAATTTAATTCGAGGCGAACATCTGGGAGAGGCAGAAAGGGGGAAGTTTAAAATTAAGAGATTTCCACAGTTGTGCGTTTATTTGTGATTCTGAAGACATGTAACCCGCAGGAGCCTAGGATTTTTTTTTTTTTTCTTCTCTTCCAGAACAGATACCTAGCCAGGCACTAAAGGCAGTTGGTGCAACCACAAAGGTTGTGCTCAAATCACACTTGAGATACACCAGAGACACCCCCAATCCCTCCCCCAGGACTTCTAGCTGTCTGCGAGTCGGAGAAGGACCCGATTACAGTCAGGAGACGGGAGCGTCAACCCTCCAGGTGTTTTGGAAAGGAGGACGAAAACAGGCGAGCTGCACGACTCCGCCGAAGTGGAGTGTTTTGTCTGCGGTGCTGCCCGTGTGTTTGGCGTTTTACAAACCAAGGGACTGGCCTCAGCCTCTCGGCCCAGGACGGCCACTTTCGCAAAGTTCGATCTCTCAAAGCCAGAGCAGTTTGCAAGCTCTTTCCAGTGGCAACCCTGCTGACGTTTGGATTCAGCTAGGAGGTGAAAAGCAGAACGTCAAAGCGGTTGCCTGTCACAGAGCAGTGTCGCGGGGTGGGGGCTTGGGGGGCTGGAGAAGGACTTGTCAGAGTTCAAGGTCGCTGTGGCGCGGGCACGGCTCCCGCGAGCGCGGGGCTACTGCGTCCCGCCGCTGCCGCCAGCCTTCGCCGGGACTTAGCTTTGGTTTTCATTGATTCCCCTTGCAAGAGCGCAGCAGAATCCCAACCAGCCGCACCGGTCCCGGCGAACCAGAGCGTGTTAATCTATTTATATGGATTATTACAGAGGAACAGCGGGCGTTGAGTCACCAAAACATTTGCTTCAAAAGACCATTTCTAAGCACTTTCGGAGGAGGCAGGCTCCAGAAGCATAAACTGGGCTACGCGTTAAAGAACGACTGCTTTTCGAAGGCTACAAACTCCAGCTAAGTCTCCGGGACCGCGCAGAAAGCAGTGAAAAGAAATGCTTGGGGGTGGGGGCAGATCCTAGTCTAGACGCGCGCGCGCGCGTGCACACACACACACACACACAGGCACGCAAAATTCGTGCGGAGACGGCACCAAACTTCTGACATTACGAGAGTATGGCAAACTTACACACTTGGACGTCCCGGGTCCCCCGCCTTCCCCGCTGCACCCCCCCCCAACGCCAGACCAGAGGCAGCGCTCCCCTCCCCGCTCCTCCCCTCCCCTCTCGTCACCCAAGCCCACTGCCACAATCCTCCTCCCCGCAAAATCCAGTCCAATCAGCTGCCTGCCAACCCCTGAAATGCCGTGCTGTGATTGGCTGGCCGTCTCTAAGGTGAGGAGCAGTAGTTATTAAAGAGTCCCAGGGCTGCGAGTTGAGGAGCTGAGAGCGGAGGTTGAAACTCACTGGAAACTTGCGCCGCGACTTGCCAGTTTCACTCCAGGAACTTTTCTTTGCAGGAGGAGAAGAAAAGGGGTGCAAGCGCCCCGCTTTTGCTCTCTTTCTTCCCCTCCTTCTTCTTCTCCTCTCCAGTTCGCCTTACCCCACTTGGAGCAGACAGCTGCGGGCTGGCCACCGCGCGCCTTCCCAAGTGCTCGCCGCCGCAGCCGGCTGACGTGCCAGGCTCCCCGGGAGCCGCTCGCTCCGCGTTCGGGCAGCCGAGGGGAGAGGAGCCCGCGCCTCGAGTCCCCGAGCCGCCGCGGCTTCTCGCCTTTCCCTGCCACCCGCTCCCTGCCCCGGGCCCGCGTATGAATCTCCTGGACCCCTTCATGAAGATGACCGACGAGCAGGAGAAGGGCCTGTCCGGCGCCCCCAGCCCCACCATGTCCGAGGACTCGGCGGGCTCGCCCTGCCCTTCGGGCTCCGGTTCGGACACCGAGAACACGCGGCCCCAGGAGAACACGTTCCCCAAGGGTGAGCCGGACCTGAAGAAGGAGAGCGAGGAGGACAAGTTCCCCGTGTGCATCCGCGAGGCGGTCAGCCAGGTGCTCAAGGGCTACGACTGGACGCTGGTACCCATGCCGGTGCGCGTCAACGGCTCGAGCAAGAACAAGCCGCACGTCAAGCGGCCCATGAACGCCTTCATGGTGTGGGCGCAGGCGGCGCGCAGGAAACTCGCCGACCAGTACCCGCACCTGCACAACGCCGAGCTCAGCAAGACGCTGGGCAAGCTCTGGAGGTAGGGCCGGTGCGGCAGGGTGGGCTCCGCGGTGGCGGGGGGCGCTGGCCGGGACACTTTCTCGCGCCCCGCCTCCCAGCAAGAGGGAGCTGTCGGCCCCGGAGCAGGCGGGCGGCGGCGGGGGGGGGGGGGGGGGCGGGGGGGGGGGCGAAGTGTAACTTGGCCCAGAGTTTGACAAAGTTCTTGGATTGCTCTTCAGGGGGAAAGGAGGGGAGGGGGGGAGGGGAAGGGGGCCGAGAGAGCCAAAGGGTGGGAGAAGACTTGTGGGAGACACGGTGGGAGGGGGCTGCCAGCCCTATCTCCCGTCTCTGTGAAGTTCAGTTCGATCCCAAGTGGGGGGTTGGGTGGGAAGTGAAGTTTGTCCGTCTCTCGCTCCAACTGCGTTCTCTCGTGTAGCCCCACAGACCAAGGAGATGGGGTGAAGGCGGGGAGACTTCAAGGCCAGAGGAGACTCCCGGCAGGAATGGGGGGGCTGCTGGAAATAGGTGGACGCGGGGGGGGGCAGGAGGAGCTCCTTGCCGATTAAGTGGTTTTTTGGAAAGCTTTTAAGAGTGTTGGGGGCGGGGGGCGTTATAACTACAGTAGCAGAGGCACTTAGAGCAGAAGCAGCGGAGAGCTATTTTCATCTCCAGGGTTTTCCAAAATAGAAGGAGCGAGGGCGGGGCGGGGAGTGACCGCTCAGGTCGGACTAAAAGAACCGAGATTTAGTTTTCCCTTTTTCCTTTTTCTTTCTTTTTTAATTTAAGAAAAGTTATGAGCTGCAGTAGCGGCTGGAAAGCAGGGAGGAGGGAGGAAGGGGTTGTGTGCGAAGAAGCCGAGTGGTCGGGGTCACCTCCCCCTCCCGCCGACCTGACAGTTCCGCCAGTTTCACAGAACCCCCTCTGTTTCTCTCTGCGCCCCCTCCCCCGCCCCCAGACTGCTGAACGAGAGCGAGAAGCGGCCCTTCGTGGAGGAGGCGGAGCGGCTGCGCGTGCAGCACAAGAAGGACCACCCGGATTACAAGTACCAGCCGCGGCGGAGGAAGTCGGTGAAGAACGGCCAGGCGGAGGCCGAGGAGGCCACGGAGCAGACGCACATCTCCCCCAACGCCATCTTCAAGGCGCTGCAGGCCGACTCGCCGCACTCTTCCTCCGGCATGAGCGAGGTGCACTCCCCCGGGGAGCACTCGGGTGAGTCCCCCCTACAGCCCCAGGCTAAGCCTCCCGCGGGCCCCACGGGCACACCCCAGGTCTCCACCGAGTAGGCTTAGGGACTTTGCGCTCCCCGGGGAGGGAAAAACTACCCCTAGCGCCTAATCCTCCTCCCCTCCCAGCCCAGGGCCCCACGAAGCTCCTACACACACATACACACGCACAACTCAATCTCTACATCCTAGCAGATTAATTTTTATTGCGAGGTAAAATGCCTTTACAGCTTTACAGGACTTATTCCTTCTCTCGCTCCGCCACCCCAGAAGCACTCACAGGGTTCTTTCACAAGTAGCAATTCTGTCCTCCCGACCCTCCGGGCCTCAGAACCACCCCCCCCCCAATAAAAGGAGATCGCAGAATGTGTACTGGCAGGTTAATAATTTGGCGACTTATCTCGGGTGCACCGCGCCTCCCGCGCGGTTGCGGGTCCTTCTGACACTTTAACTTGGAGGGAGGGGTCCCAGGAGGGTTCCTAAGATTAGGGCCTTTGCACAGCCCTTGTTGATTTTCTGTGCTGCTTCTCTTCTATTGCCCGCAGGGCAATCCCAGGGCCCACCGACGCCACCCACCACCCCCAAAACCGACGTGCAGCCCGGCAAGGCTGACCTGAAGCGCGAGGGGCGCCCCCTGCCAGAGGGGGGCCGACAGCCCCCCATCGACTTCCGCGACGTGGACATCGGCGAGCTGAGCAGCGACGTCATCTCCAACATCGAGACCTTCGACGTCAACGAATTCGACCAGTATCTGCCGCCCAATGGCCACCCGGGGGTGCCGGCCACGCACGGCCAGGTCACCTACACGGGCAGCTACGGCATCAGCAGCACGGCGGCGACCCCGGCGGGCGCAGGCCACGTGTGGATGTCCAAGCAGCAGGCGCCGCCGCCGCCGCCGCCGCCCCCGCAGCAGCCCCAGCAGGCCCCGCAGGCCCCGCAGGCGCCCCCGCAGCCGCAGCCCGCGCCCCCGCAGCCGCAGCCCGCGCCCCCGCAGCCGCAGCCGGCGCACACGCTGACCACGCTGAGCAGCGAGCCGGGCCAGTCGCAGCGAACGCACATCAAGACGGAGCAGCTGAGTCCCAGTCACTACAGCGAGCCTCAGCAGCACTCGCCGCAGCAGATCGCCTACAGCCCCTTCAACCTCCCGCACTACAGCCCCTCCTACCCGCCCATCACCCGCTCGCAGTACGACTACCCAGACCACCAGAACTCCGGCTCCTACTACAGCCACGCGGCGGGCCAGGGCTCCAGCCTCTACTCCACCTTCACCTACATGAACCCCGCGCAGCGGCCCATGTACACCCCCATCGCCGACACCTCCGGGGTCCCTTCCATCCCGCAGACCCATAGCCCCCAGCACTGGGAACAGCCGGTCTACACACAGCTCACCAGACCTTGAGGAGGCCTTGCGCCAAGGGGGATGCTGACCGCGTGATGATCCTAAAAAGCACCGAAGAAAGAACCAACCAGAATTTCCTTGGGACATTTTTTTTTTCTTATTCCTTAAAGACATTTAAGCTAAAGGCAACTCGTACCCAGATTCCAAGACCGAACCATTAGCTATCCAGACGCATTACCACCTTGCTGCAAATCAGTAGCCAGGCCACTCGTGGCCGGGCGGACCGGCGGAATCGAGGAGAAACCGAACTTGAAAACTTTCTTCAAAGCAAGCAATGGAGGATAAATGGAGAATCATCGTGTGACCAATTTGCTCAATCTCTCTGCCTGTTTGAACTTTGTAATTATTTTTTAGCAGTAATTAAAGAAAAAAGTCCTCTGTGAGGAGTATTCTCTATTTTAAATATTTTTAGTATGTACTGTGTATGATTCATTACCGTTTTGAGGGGATTTATACATATTTTTAGATAAAGAAATTAAATGCTCTTATTTTTCCAACAGCTAAACTACTTAGTTGAACAGTGTGCCCTAGCTTTTCCTGCAACCAGAGTATTTTTGTACAGATGAGCTTTCTCTTACAAAAAAAAAAACAAAAAACAAAAAACAAAAAAAAAAAGTGTGTGTGTGTTGTTGCATTAACATTAAAAAAAAAACACGGATTTGTGTTACGTGATCAGTTTTGGGGGTTAGCTTTGCTTAATTCCTCAGGCTTTCTGATTCAAGAAGGAGCTGCCTTAGAAAGAAAAATAAAGGCCTTATTTTGCAAATATGGGAGTAAACCATAGTCTAGAGAAGCATTTGGTAAGCTTTATCGTATATATATTTTTTAAACGAGAAAATACCTTGAGCCTTAAAACCGTGCTGCTGGAAAATACTTGTGCTCTCTGTTAGTGCATTTCCTTCCTTCTGCATTTGCTTGTTTGTTGCAATCTTAAGAAAGAAGTGAAAACGAAGCAAAGGAGATGAAATCTGTTCTGGGAATGTTTCAGCAGCCAGTAAGTGCCCCCTGGTTGCCTGCTCGAGCCCCATGTGGGACACAGATGCTAGAGCCCTGTCCCTTGTGCTGTCACCTGTGCCTCTCCAAACACCAGCAGTGAAACTTCAAGACATCCCACGAGCTAAAATTATTTATTTTGTAAGGAGAGGTTTTCGTTAAAAAAAAAAAATCTTTTTCTCTAAAATTTTTTTTTTTTTTAATTTTACCTTCTTTAAAATAGGTTGTTGGAGCCTTCCTCAAAGGGTATGGTCATCTGTTAAATTATGTTCTTAACTGTAACCAGTTTTTTTTTTATTTATCTCTTTAATCTTTTTTATTATTATTAAAAGCAAGTTTCTTTGGATTTCTTGTCCTAGATTTGTATAATATACATGCCTTTTTGTCTGTCCTTTTTTTTTTTCTTTGTTGTTTTGTTGAAAACAAACTGGAAACTTGTTTCTCTTTTTGTATAAATGAGAGGTTTCAAATGTAGTGTATCACTGAGTCATTTTCAGTGTTTTTCTGCCACAGATTTTTGGGCTGCCTAAAGTGTGTGTGTGTGTGTGTGTGTGTGTGTGAGTGGACACAAAACAAGGCTGGCATGTGTCATGGATAGTCCCCGTGCATGTTCTCTTGGAGACAAGGAGGAAAAGTGGAGGGGATCAGCCCACCGAGAGACCTGAATTCTTAATTCCTTCTGTGGCTGGAGAGTTTGAGGATTGCTTTTTAAAAAAGACAGCAAACTTTTTTTTATTTAAAAAAAGATATATTAACAGTTTTAGAAGTCAGTAGAATAAAATCTTAAAGCACTCTTATAATATGGCATCTTTCAATTTCTGTATAAAAGCAGATCTTTAAAAAAATATTTCTGTAACTTAAGAAACCTGGCATTTAAATCATGTTTTGTCCTTAGGTAAGGTTTGGTTTGTGTTTGTGTTTTGTTTTGCTTGTTTCCTCCCAAACCTTTTGTTCTCTCTGTGAAACTCATCTTTCCTTTTTTCTTTTTTTTTGTATATTATTGTTTACAATAAATATACATTGCATTAAAAAGAAAATGGCCCTGTGGACTGACTTATTTGCCTCTTCTCCCCTTCAAAGGATGATGTGAAGAATTGAAGCACTGAAGAGATTGTTGCATACTGATCACTGTGAGGTTCTCATTTTTTATGTTACATTTTTAGCTATCCCAAATTTGGCAGTGATGAAAAGACTGTGTCCCCAAAAATATATGCAGAAAAATCTTAGAAAGTGTCACCCTATGAGGTCACCTAGACAATTACATGTCAGTAGTTGTTCGCTCAGGCAAAATGTTTGTTGTGCTATTAACAGCCGCATGCTTCAGGGCAAAAGCTGTTTCCTTGTGGAACTCACAGGGGAATATTAGACCTGAAATCGGTAGCTTGTCAGCAGTAGACAGAATGCCAGAGGGGGTGACTTGCCTGCCTCAATTCAGTCAAGTAAACTTTCTATTATCATGAACACATACCAACCAAGGGTGTCCATTTAAAAGGCAGAAGAAGCCAAAAGAAAAGTTTTCAAAGAGGACCGGAGGGAAGTCTGTTCCTTTAACCCATTATATGTGATTCAGAGCCTTCCTGGTCTATGCAGGTACAATGGAATGAGTTACCTTATTCTGCTGTTCCCTCCCATTTAACTCATTCTGAGAAGATGCAAAGCCGTGGTAGAAGTTATGAGACCTAATCCTGTTTTTCTTGGCCTGGGTGGGATGGGAGTTTCCAGGATCAGAGAAACGTCCAGGTCATTTTTCATTAAACAGATGAAATCACTCCTTCCCTCCCACCCCCACACAGAGACAACCCCACCCCCACCCCCCACCACCTCCACAGACACCCTGGCTGATCGGGGCAGTGTCTCTAAAGGAGGCAAGTCCCTGTCACCCCAGGCTGGTTTGACTTCTGGGCCCCTGTCTCCGACAGTCTTCACCGGTATCCAGACTCTCTGGTATTACGCCACATTGTCTGTTTTTGCTTTTTTGGATTCCTGGCTTGGGTCCCACACCAGGATCATGGCAACCAGGAAAATGGTAGTTATCAAATTGAGACAACATTAGTGCTCGGCCTCCTTTGCAAATTCCTTCAACAGCAATTGAGGGCCCGTGATCTGCAGGGTGCTGTGCACGTCTGCCCTGCCCCCACTCCCACCCCCAGACCTCACATTCTGTTGCTGGATTGTGCCACACTGCCCGTTGGCTTAGGCTCAGAGTCTAGCCTCCATTCTTACAAAATCTCTCTTGTGTTTCCCCTTGCCAACACTCACGAAGTCCTTTTTAAAGTGTCTGTGGTGCTCACCAATTCTTGTTCACCCTTATTCACCTAAATCCCCTTATCTGTTAAACTCAACACACACCACCCGGTCCTGACCACCCCTTCCCCTACCAAATCCGTAATGTATGCAAGATTGTTTTCTCTTCTCCTAGAAATATGCTCTTTTCCTCAGTGTGTGACCTTCCACAGATCTTCTTAGAGCCAGAAGGTTCCATTTGGGTATAATTGGATAGGGCAAGTTGCTTACTTTCCTATGCCTAGGTTTCCCCTTTTGTTAAGAACATTTGTAAACTCTCCTCTTGTAACAGGGTTGCTATTAGAGTGGTTTTTAGCAAGAAGCAGTCTGGCAACTGACTGCGTCTGAATCTTCTGGTCCGCACAGGACTCCTACTAGCCTGGCATACAAGGTACACAGTAAATGGGGTGCTCACAGGCTGGTTCTGATATACAGGGAAACACAAGAGACAATGAAGCACAGACAGAATTCCTCTGAATCTCCCTCACCCCCGTGCACCAGATCGAGGCAAAGCCCGGCACCACCAGATTATAAAATATTTTAGAGGAATTTTTATTCTAAATCTAGAAATGCAGAGCTTATCACCCTGACAACAAGACATTTATTGAAAACCTAGGAAAGAGTCCTCCAGAACAGAAAAAGCTTATAATTAGATCCAGGGTTATTTTGTTTATTTGCATTCAAAATAAAACCTTTTTTTTTAAAAAAAAAAAAAAAAACTATCTCCACAAAAAGGGCTTTTTAAAAAAAAAAAAAAGGAATAAACATAAGGGAATAAAAACCTCACTTAGAATCAGTCCTTTGGGCAATTATGAAAATGGCACTTATGGATTAATGCTTGAGCTGTGTGTTTGACTTTCCCACCTGAACTCCTTCCTACTCCTTCTTTTCCCTGATTTCCACCCTGAACATTTCTGAGGCACTGCTGGGACACTTGGTAAATTAACTTAATTGATGAACTGTCATTATAGCACAGAGAGATTTACCGTGGATGCTAAAGAATGTGTAAGCCTCAGGCCTGGTCATTTGCACAGAGACCTTGTAAGGCCCTGTACTTAATCTCATATTTTTTAAAAATATTTTATTTATTTATTTGACAGAGAGTGACACAGCGAGAGAGGGAACACAAGCAGGGGGAGTGGGAGAGGGAGAAGCAGGCTTCCCGCGGAGCAGGGAGCCCGATGTGGGGCTCGATCCCAGGACCCCGGGATCATGACCTGAGCCGAAGGCAGACGCTTGACTGAGCCATCCAGGCGCCCCTTAATCTCATATTTTAAAAATGTTTATCCTGGGCGCCTGGGTGGCTCAGCTGGTTAAGCGACTACCGTCGGCTCAGGTCATGATTCCAGAGTCCCGGGATCGAGTCCCACATCGGGCTCCCTGCTCAGCAGGGAGTCTGCTTCTCCCTCTGACCCTCCTCCCTCTTGTGCTCTCTCTCTTACTCTCTTTCTCTCAAGTAAATAAATAAAATCTTTAAAAATAAATAAATAAATAAAAATGGATATCCCCCCCCTTTTTTTTTTAAAGAGTGCCCTCCCTCATTGGGTGGCTGGGTGATAGACATCGGGGAGGGTATGTGCTATGGTGAGCGCTGTGAATTGTACAAGACTGATGAATCACGGATCTGTACTTCTGAAACAAATAATGCAATATATGTTAAGAAAAAAAAGAAGAAGAAGAAGATAGCAGGAGGGGAAGAATGAAGGGGAGTAAGTCGGAGGGGGAGACGAACCATGAGAGACGATGGACTCTGAAAAACAAACTGAGGGTTCTAGAGGGGAGGGGGTGGGGGGATGGGTTAGCCTGGTGATGGGTATTAAAGAGGGCACATTCTGCGTGGAGCACTGGGTGTTATGCACAAACAATGAATCATGGAACACTGCATCAAAAACTAATGATGTAATGTATGGTGGTTAACATAACAATAAAAAAATTATTAAAAAAAAAAAAAAGAGTGCCCTCCCTCAAACACACACACACAAAACTATATAAGCTCCAGGCCCCA